GTAACTCCACCTCAATGGTCGTCCTCCTCATCCTCACTCTCGTGGTTGTCCTCTCTCTGCTGTCTGTCTGGCCACAGCTTTTCATCCACATCACACCTCTTATAGTCTCCCTTGCGATGCAACGGGGTAAGAATCTACGTGCATGCCGCAACCATCCCCTGCACTGATCTGCTGTGACATTGTCACAGCAAGCATCCATTGCTTCAAGCAGGGACCTCTGGTTCTGAGCCCGATGCTCATACACCCCCCACCTCCAAGCAGAGAAAAATTCCTCAATTGGATTGAGAAATGGGGAGTAAGGTGGTAGGAGCACCATTAGCAGTCTTGGGTGGGCAGTGAACAAGGCCCTGATGAGCGGGCAGCGGTGGAAGCTGACATTGTCCCACACAACTACAAACTTTGACAAGTGAGGCCCTACCAAACCTCTCTCATTTTCTGGGATGAGATCTGAATAAAGGTGATCCAAAAAGAACAGGAGCTTTTGGGTATTGTATGGGCCAAGTGTGGGAATGTGGGTGGCCACACCATTTTCAGAAATGGCAGCACACATTGTTATATTGCCCCCACGCTGGCCTGGGACATCCACCGTGGCCCGGTGGCCAATAATATTCCGGCCACGTCTTCTTCCTTTGGCCAGGTTGAAGCCGGCTTCATCCACGAAAACAAGGGTGTGAAGAGTCTCATTCCCCTCCAATGCCATTATTCTCTACAATACAGTACAACAAAATATCAAATCAGTTATACGGTAGAATCATACCATAACAGCAAATTACATAGGAATGTTTTGTGTTCTCAACCAAAAGTTCAATATAGTGGCCTCTGTGCTTTACTGTAAACAGGTTATAATGATAGATAACCAGTAACACACCAATGACTTACATTTACATACTGGAACAGCAGCTCTTTCACTCTATCAGAGTTTCTCTCAAATGGTACCCTGTAGAGCTGTTTCATGCTCATCTCATGCTTCTTCAATACCCTGTCTATTGTTGATATGCTGATAGTGTTGATGTTCTGGAATATTAGATTGTCCTGTATTATGGTATTACAGATCTCTCTTAGTGTGATGGCATTATTTGCCATCACTATATTGCAGATCTCCTGTTCTTGTTCTCGGCTGAGTAGTGTTCTTCTGCCACCAGTACGAGGTTGTCGTCCAATCCTAGACATAGAATTCACAAATAGACAATATTACCATTTGTATTGTGATGCACTGTCCTGTCCTGTAGACCTACTGTATGCCTTATGAATTTCTGACAGAATGAGTTACCAATTGTACTGTTGTTTTACTGTTACGTAATGTACTGAAATTCTACTGTAATGCATTGCTGTACAGTAATTGGAATACTACTGTAAACTGTACTATCAATACAGTAATTCCATTGTTGAATGAGTACATAGGCCTACCTGTTTTCCCTGCGGAAGGTTTGGATGATAGAAGACACTGTAGATCTGGGCACATTCGGCTGAACTCGACAACCTGCCTCTGCCATTGTGAGGCCATGATTGATCACATGGTCAACAAGTGTAGCCCGAATTTCATCTGGAACGGCATGGTGTCTTCGTGCCCCTCGCCCTCTTCCACCTACTCCACCACCACGCACCCTTACTCCTCCTCCTCTTCCTCTTCTTCTTCCTCTTCCTCGAGCAGGCAGTTGGTCATTGTTGTTGTGGCCAGGTGCCTCCATGTTCAGAAATTGTATTGATTCTGGTCAAGCTCTATATGTATGTTTGGCAAAAATCATACTCATGGATAGCACCTGTCAGGTAACTAAACATACCATTTGATTGGTCATCTGAGATGTGTTACACACCCCCTTTATTAGTCAAGTTCTAGATTCACCTGAGTCAATTTATCAATCAGCAAAAGATATTCATATCATGTAATGTGATGTAATACATGATATTATGTTCCTGACTAATTTTGACAATTGAATGAACTCATGTGCATGTGATGGCTAACACAATGAAATAATGCTGACATGTTTTGGAGAGTAAAACCATTTGACTGACAATCAACAGTTAGTTTAGATCAGCAAGATATATACAACTGGTAATTGTGCTAACTGTAGGCAACTGTAATCAATCATTTGCAAAGATGTGCTAGACGTTTGCAATTTGTGCAAACTGTAGACAATTGTATTTAATCATTTGCAAAGTGTGCTAAGACATTTGCAATTTGTTGAAAGGAATGAGAATTTGAAATCTGTTGTGAAGAAGTGCCCAGTGGTTTGGAGGGTTGTCCATGTTGTTTTGAGAATGTAATTTCTGTTTCAAGAAATGAGCCAAACCAATTGAGAAAAACTGTAAACAAGGACCAGAGTGTAGGATTTAATGACATCTAGTGGTGAGATTTCAGAATGCAATCCCTTTCCGAGCATGTAGAGAACCTATGGTGGCCTTCTGGTGATGTAAAAATGCAATCCCTTTTGTGTTACTGTGGAAAATGGGGGTGCATCGTAGTAAGCACTGTAGAGGAGGACCCGCTCCCTGTGTAGATATGAAGGGCACATTCTAAGGCAGGGTTGTCATTTTAGTTCAGGGGCCACATACAGCCCAGTTTGATCTCAAATGGGCCAAACTGGTAAAACCACTGCACGTAACAACCCCTTCAGATGTTTCCTGTTTTTAGTTTAAAGTTCATTCTGAAAACATTCATCCATTTACAAAACTAATGATAAACAGCTTGTGATATCCTAAGAAAAATATGTGCAAACTCAACAGTATGTCTCAGTTTTTCCACATTCAACCAGTCTACTACTCACTGTCATTACATGTGCATTGTTTTTCATAATTTTCCACTAAAGAGGAAGCTATTGAAGAAGCAGGTTAAGCCATCCCCTGCCTTACAACCCATTTACAGTCTGAAGTTTTGTCAGTGCCTCAGCAGCAGGGTTCCACCATATTGTTTTAAGGATAGAAGTCTGATACAAATTCATTTGTACTGAAACTGCTGGTTGACAATGTTTTGCACAATGCTCAATATCTTTCAGGATGAGTACAGAAAGTATTCATTGTTATTCCAGAGAGCTGTATTCTGGCCAGAGTGAAAAAGAATTTTTATGTTAAGTATCTACTCACTGTTTAACTTGTTCCTGAAACCTCTTAACCTTCACATGTGCGTCAACATTAGGTGTGCAAAGTCATCTAGCAGGCCGGATTGGACCCTTTGGCAGGCCGGTTCTGGCCATATGTTTGACACCCCTTTTCAAGGTTATGAAAACACATGAATCTTAGTTTCAGGTTATTATACACTAATGAAAACATGATTATAATTATTATGTTCCATTTCTGCCCTAGATCCTACACGCTGCTCCTTTAAGTGCATTTTGATGCAGCTGATAACACAAATGGCTTCATAACATTAAGATGAATTCAAAGAGGATTTATGTATAGTTAGATATATAAAATAGGCCTTCAGCAGGGCTTCTCAAAGTCTCAATCAAGGTCTGCATCCCCACCCAACGACAAGTCATTCAGAGCCCAGCCCGTATCTCTTGTTCTGAATACAATATGTTACAAAGTGTATCATTTACTATTTTGAAACAAATTGTCAGTTGATCAAAAAATTGTTAACGACCTTAAATAAACAGTGTAGTTAAAGATCTTTAATAGCATTCCTCTCCCCAGATGAATGTGGTTTGAATGCGGCTTATATCTGTATCGCTGACATTGTTGTCATGGCGACGCTAATTGCTACCCTGGAAATCCAGTGTTCTCGGAAGAGCACAATTTGAATTTGCTCAGCAAGTCACTCTGGCAATCAGTAATGATGCTCATTACCCATGCCGTTGGAGCTGAGCTGCACCAATCACATCGATTTATCTGATATAGGTGGGCCAAAGGCGAGCTAAAGTCCGGAATCAGTCAGTAAACATTGCAAGATGGCTACGGATGAACACCAGTTGTTTGAAATGGCTTTGGCCGCTACAATGAACGAGTTAGACTTGGCTTTTTCTCTAAAAGAGGAACAGAAGACGGCGCTCGAATCTTTCCTTTGCAAGAAGGACGTTTTTGCTGTTTTGCCAACCGGATACGGCAAGAGTCTAATCTACCAGTTAGCTCTGCTGGTAGCTAAGCTCTGGATACGTCACCCCGTGTATTGTTCTGATTGGTCGTAGTGTTATCCAATTGCGTGCAGTGATATTTTCAAATGCATGCTTGGTGTTGCCCCTCGAGTTGGGCCATTTGCATTACTCATAGCCAGACCCTAAATCTTTCTAGATTTGGGTCTGGATTTCCAGGCTAGCTAACTGCTGGGGTTTTGTCTCAAGACACTGTATGAGCAGTCTGTTCTCAGACAATATTGTCTGATTCTTCCCACATTCTCCACGTTGAGTATCAATCAATCAATCAATCAATCAATTTTATTTATAAAGCCCAATATCACAAATCACAATTTGCCTCACAGGGCTTTACAGCATACGACATCCCTCTGTCCTTATGACCCTCGCAGTGGATAACTCCCCAAAAAAAACCCTTTAACGGGGGAAAAAAACGGTAGAAACCTCAGGAAGAGCAACTGAGGAGGGATCCCTCTTCCAGGACGGACAGACGTGCAATAGATGTCATACAGAACAGATCAGCATAATAAATCAACAATAATCCATACAACACAATGAGACAGAGAGAGAGAGAGAGAAAGAGAGAGAGAGAGAGAGAGAGAGAGAGAGAGATGCAGGTAATGACAGTAGCTTAAAACAACATTATTGAAAGTAATAATATTATAGTTATAGTTCTGGCTACTGTGGTACAATATGTTGAAAGTATGTATTAATATCTGACAATAGTCATATGTGTATAATAGCAGTAGAAGTATGACTAATGACTAATGATGGCAGCAGCAGCAGGAGGCATCTGGCAGGACCACGGCAGCAGCACAACCACACACGTCACGCTGTCCAGGCACAGCTGCAGTATGAGTTAATCTGAGAGACAGTGGAGCACAAAGGCTCTGGAGAAGAAGCCAAGTTAGTGACATCCAGAATGGTCGAGTTAGCAAGATGCAGTAATAGAATAAGAGAGAGAGAGAGAGAGAGAGAGAGAGAGAGAGTATGAGCTTTTACCTTCGGACAGACAATACAGGATGCCCAAATTTTAACTGAACCGTTTTAAAAATTCATTTGTGCCAACCTCAGTTAAGATTTTAAATAATGTCGCTTGATGCTTAGGTGTTGTGTTGTGTTTTGCTTATGGTTCTCCGTTGTGTGCTGGTGTTATGTGCAGTACATGAGTGGCTGACTGTTATGTGTAGTATGTGTTTCTATGTTTTTTTTATGGTATATGCTTTTTATTTCTTCTGGACTATTATTGTAAAGCAGCAATACTTGTGCAGCTCCTGAGTCCAGGACAAATTTCCCTACAGGGACATAAAAGTATATCGTATCGTATTGCATTGCATCCCATGGCATGACATTGTGTCGAGTCGTGTCGTGTCGTGTCGTGTCGTGTCGTGTCATGTGTCTGTGCTGCTGAGTTCATTCATTAACATTACACCACAGAATTTGTTTTCTCTAGTACACAATTGTACACAAGAGTAGGGCGGGTCTTCACAGCACATCCTGTCACCAAAGAGAGAAAGATGTTGAAATGTACAAAGAAAGGAAAAGCTGACTGAGAAAACTGAGTACTCAAAGAGAAGTTGACAGATGAATTTGCAGTCTAAACCAGCCAATCACTCCATGCTCCAGACCTTGAATAAAAACCAGATGCAGACCTTTTGAGAGTTAAGTTTGAGAACTCCTGGCATGTAGGAAAGAATTAAATTAAGTGAAAAAATTACCATACAGGTTTAACAGAGACAAAGCCATGCTCCAAAGCTAGTAGTGACACTATTACCATATAAACTCAGCTATATCATTATGTTATACATAAGTTCAGTCTTTGTAAAATGATTTAAAAGACAAAGATAACCCAACACAACAGAAGAAATTTAGGAGTTGTTAGCACAAAACTGTACTATAAAGCTTCAATGAGCTGCAGGAGCACTGTCACCAAGATGACAACAAATGTAAGCTCAGTTACAACAGTTGATGCTGGGGCAGTCATATTTGGAGCTGCTGTGGTTTCATTTGAGCTGCGACACACAAAGCTGTCATCTGAATCTGTGCCACTGGAGGTGAATGTCACAAAGTTGACATTCGCCCCCGCCACTTGTTCCATGATCCAAGTCTGGAATTCAGAGACTCGGACATAGACTTCAGGGAAATCACCCAGAGCACAAGGTTCTCCAAAACTGGCAATGCCAGTCTGGACCCACTGTGAGTTTTGTTTGCATTGCAGAGGTCCACCAGAGTCCCCCTGAAAAAAGACACAAAACATGATCAGTTAATTAACACTAACATGAGTAGAATTAGACTGGAGTAGTCTTACCTCACCAAGTGCAGTGACAGTAACATTTTGGTAGCATAAATATAAAAGTTTACATTGGTGGCCTCCAAAGTCTCTTATTTGATATTTCTTTGCTCCTCACTTGACCCAGAAGTCGTTGTGATGCACCATTTTGAAAGCCATCCCAAAACTCTTATTCCGGCTGTTAGGAGCTAGAAGCGATGAGCAAGAATACACGAGAGCAGCTTTCATGCAAGTCTTTTATCAGCCAACATGCCACCCCAATTGGATATCAGTTGTTGATTGGACGCACACAGTGCTGCAGCTGATCAGACTGAACTGATGCATCACAACATCACTGGAGTTTCATACCAGTGTGAAGCTAGATAATAGATTTAGCTTAAGTGTATCACTCCCAGGTTTTTATCTTTTATTTGTTTTCTGATTGACCATCTGGTTAAAAATCAGAACAAAAGAAGAACAAACTGTCTTCATTTAGACAGATTTTTCTTTTTACGATCTGTTATTTCTGTTATCTATTAGTGTTTCAAAAACACAATAATCATATTCATATAATCAAGACCAGCCTAATACAGGGAAGATACACCTGTTGCACACCTGGCGGCACAAGCAGGTACTTAAGTGCTTGGCAGCTGAGCTTGAGCCGAAGAAGGTAACCATCAACACCACGCCTCTCAAACCGGATAAACAGGATAAGTTCCAATGGTCTGCATTATTCGTCTGGGAGGGAGAAAAATAAGTAGCATGCCTCTTGCCTTCCAATAAAAGCCTGCTGCATGGAGCCAGGGACTGGGAAATGCATGCTGACTTGGGCCAGTGTCTCATAGTTCCACCCGAAATAGCAGCAACCAGAGGTGACTAGAGGCTGGAAAGCTGAGGTGCAAATGATCGAGGTTTGCTGCAGAGGCTTTGTCGCTAGATCTACCACAAGGCTCCTCAAGGAAATCTGGATTAATGAGCAGGCCCAGAGGAAAGTGGTCAAGGATCTGGTCAATACAGCTGAGAGGGGCAGTCATTGGCTATGGCTGAAGAGAAAGGATCCCGTCTGGACCCCTAGGTGACCACGGAGGAGCCAACCTTCTGTCACACACCCAGGCATGATCGGCCTGTGGTGGGCCTCCCTCAACGGAGGGTGTCTTGTGATAAAGGCCAAAACACCCGATGATGTTGAGGTGCACAACTGGTGATGTATGGAGGGTGGCTCTGCTGGGTGGTCACGGCCAAAACATCTATGCTGTGGCACAAATCGTGCTGAAACTCCAGGGATTGTAACACCAAATGCTAACTGATAACATATGAATTCTGGATTTTTAAATACTTAATTTACAAAGAGAAAATCAATAAATAGCATACAGATGCAAATAATGAACAGCCTAAAAAATATAATCACATTCTGCGCCTCTAAACAGGACACAGAACATATGCAGGTTATTCACTTGCAGGTAAACTGAGAGAAAATACTGTTGCTCTGGCAGTGATATCTGTGTGCCTTTACAGTGTACGTGTGACACAAGGTCCATCAAAAGTCTCTACAGGTTATAAACCTGACCGACAGCTGACCTAGCTGTCATCAGCTGCTCCTGTCATCAGAAATGGGCGTTGCTTCACCTGACGCTTTAAAGGAAAGAACGCCTCATTTCGCTGAAAACATATTTTCTCAATTCCTCTCTTCGCTTGGTTTCCTTGGACCTCTCCATGGTGATGGGAGGGACTAAGTGGCAAGTGAGTGAAACACGGATGCAATTTAAGATCAAACAACAAAATCAAACACCTTCTCATTCATATTTTTGTGCAGCCACTGTAGGTTTATTATTGGCACACAGGAGAAGTTCCAGTCCTGCAACCTCATTAATTCCCTTAAATCCTACACACCGACCTTTATACAGTTTCTTTTGGGAGTGTCAAGGAAAAAAAACCAAAAAGCAGTCAGTACAGTTACTTTAAATATTCCAACAATGCATTATAATTCTAACCTGACATGCTCCTTTGTTTTCTTGTCCTGCACATATCATTGCGTCAGTGATGTTTGCGGCTGGTTGAGGGAGGTAGTTGCAAGTGCACTGATTATTTCCAACAACAGGAATCTGTACCTCCTGCAGGGGATAATTATTTGGCAATGGTTCTGTGGGAGAGAGAGAATGACATCAGAAGACAATTCATTTTCCTTCTTTTGCACAGTTTTATGGAGATTTTTGGTGGTGGTGGTGGTGATGATGTTTTTCTCTTAAAATAACCAACCAACAACCAATGTTTTTTATGGTCTGAGGCAAACCCATCAATTATGACAATGCAATAATCCCTGCACCATTTAATTGATATGTGACAGTGCATCCTTTATCTGACTTGCTTGGGTTTGGGTAAATGGTTATACCACAAGTAGATCCAACCAGGCAATCTGGTCAACTAGACATTTGAAACTTGGTCAAATCAGTATGGCAGCAAACCATCACTATCACTAAACATATTACTCTAACATTTCCATGATAGAATTCTAACTTCCAGAGCTGATCAACAACGAGTAGGGTACAACACTGATACAGAATGGATTGTTTTGTTAATTTTGATTGAAATCAACTTTCTTCATCAAATATGACGTGGCGCTGTTAGATTGCTGCTAGACTGTCCCGTTGATAAATAAGAAGTGTTTGCCTCCCTTGTGTTCAGCAGGCCAAAGAGCAAACAGTTTTGTGAACACAGTTAAAATGTTTTTGTAATGCTAAAGCCAACAAATATGGATTAAAGAAGAATATTATGTTGGATAACAACATGTTGTGAAACTTAGAAATGATTACATCTACAACCTCAATTCCAAAAATGTTGGGATGCTGTGTAAGATGTGAATATAAATAGATTGCAATGATTTGGTAATCATTTTTGATACATTCAATCAAGTACAGTACAAAGACAAAATATTTAATCTTTAAACTGATTAACTTTGTTGTTTTTCAGAAAATAGACACTCATTCTGAATTAGATGCCTCCGAAAATAGTTGAGACAGGATTAACAAAACACTGTGAAAGTTGAATGATCAAAAAGCACCTGAAACATTCCACATGTACACAAGTTAATTGGTAACAGATGATAGTATCATGATCGAGTATGAGAGGGGCATCCTCGAAAGCCTAAGCTGTTCACAAGAAAGGACATTGCGAGGTTTACCACTTTGTGAAGAACTGCTCAGTCAAATAGTCCAATGGTAAGAACGTAAATATCTAGAATAAACTAGAGAATGCAATTTCTGTGCAAATAGCAAGTGTGAATGCTCAATGCAGAATAGCTGAGGCTACACTGTAATGCTCGCTTTAAATGTTGAATAATACTATTCTTATTATAATACTATAGTATGAATGATGTGGAATATCTTTGTGGGTTGTTTAAAAAACTGATGCTACACTGCAATGCTTGCTTAAGTGTGAAAGAAGAAGGTAAAGTAGTAGGAATAGTTGGGGAAAGTGTGAACAGTTTTAATTAGTATGAATATTAATGAAATTAATTGAATCATAAGTGAAACAATAGGGTACGTCCCCTGATGTGTTCATAGTCAGTTTGCTGGATCCTGCCAAAACTACACAAACAAATGCCCCATGATTCATTAACAAACACAATGTGGTTTGCAAATATAAAACATAAATAACAAACTAATGCATTTTGTTTTACAAACATGCCCACAATAACAATGTTAACATGCTGATATTTAGCAGGTAATGTGTTTACTATCTTTGGTTAGCATGTTAGCATGCCAGTACTCACCATCCTTTTTAAGTCTGCCCCAACCGGTGGCCCAGCAGGGGGTGGAGCTGTGAACCTGGCTGGAGTTACTTGCCAAGCAGACAGGTTTGATGTAGTCAGTGAAAGTGACAGGGCTGCTGAGCTTCATCAGGGCAATGTCGTTGTTATACAATGTGTCGTTGTAGTTAGGATGGACGATGATCTGGGACACGGTGCGGCTCACCTCATTAACATTAGGGCCAGACTGAGTCTCTCGTCCCAAGTAGAGAATCCATACACTAGGGCGGCTTCTGGATATAAGAATAAATAAAAAACACAAATTATTATGTATCAACTTATTATCCTATTGTTTAACTTTGTCTCTGGAGACCTACGTATGAGTCAAATAATTTTACCAGCACATATTAGTGGCTGATTTGGCTGTACAGTGTGAACCTCATATATATTAAATCATCTTGGCTGTAATAACAGCAGGATGCAAATCCTGACAGGTACAATATCATTCATTCATTCATCTTCTAACCGCTTCATCCTCTTGAGGGTCGCGGGGGGGCTGGAGCCTATCCCAGCTGTCATCGGGCGAGAGGCGGGGTACACCCTGGACAGGTCGCCAGACTATCGCAGGGCTGACACATAGAGACAGACAACCATTCACGCTCACATTCACACCTATGGACAATTTAGAGTTATCAATTAACCTAGTCCCCAATCTGCATGTCTTTGGACTGTGGGAGGAAGCCGGAGTGCCCGGAGAGAACCCACGCTGACACGGGGAGAACATGCAAAGGTACAATATCAGTACTGACAAATAATGTATCCACCTATTAAGATCCTTTACAGACACCTCAGGCTAAAACATTGTTACCAGCATGAACATCAAGCTGTTTTGGCTGGACAGTGTGAATTACATACATGTAATACTCACCTGGTTTAAGAAAGGAGGAGATGAAATCTCGGAAGGTAATAAATTATACATCAGCCAAATAAAGCATCCGCATTGTAACATTATTTCTAGAAATCTATGAAACAAATGGGGTTATGACCAGCACATATTTTTGGGCCATTTAGGAACATTTTAGCATAACTGTCTCTGAAACGTTAAAAACCAAAACACCAAAGAGTTCACCCTCAGAAATATATTCAGAGATTACTAAAGGAAATCCTGAAAATTTTATACCAAAAATTTCACGGAAATGTTGCTTCTACTTAGCCTAATAAAATCAATAAAGCCAAACAATTACAGACTATAGAGTTCAGGAGCCTCATTTATAAAAGAGTGCTTAGGATTCATACTAAAAGTTAACGTGCGCCCAAGAGCTGAAAATGGCGTGCGCCAAAAAATAATCTGATTTATAAAACCGGGCACACGCACACTTGCACGCAATGTTCTCTTTATAAATCACAGACCTCCTGCAGTTGTGCGCACCCAGATCCTCATCATATTCCACCCTCTACGCGCCCTAGTTCAACCATAAATGGTCATGCAAATCACCTCATGAATGCGATCTGCATATAAATAAGCCGGCATGCGAGAGTTCTCTCGTTATGAGTCAAAGCGACAGGTGTGAGAAACAAACCAAAAAACGGAATTTCTCTGAGACTGAGCTTGAGACCCTTTAACGGGAGGTGGAGGACTGAAGAAAGATTTTATGTGGTGGCCACAGCAGCAGGTTCACTAATAAAAGAAAGCAAAAAAAGTGGCAACACATCAGCGCTGCTGATGCTGTCAGCTGTGTCTGTGGGACTGCACGGGCATTGACAGAGAAAAAAAAAAGTGGTCTGATCTAAAGGTACACCAAATATTTCAACTACTTTACCAACATGTAGTTAATGTGTGTGTGTATTTGAGGATGTTTGACATTAATGTGAGACATAAAGAATCACATTTATTAAAGGTGGAGGCAAAAAGGAGTATGTGCCAGTGCCATCTTGCACAATTACGCACAAGGGTCACCGCAGTATTTATATGTTTATGGCAATTAGTCTGATCAGACACCCGGCCTGAATTAAAGCATGAACCAGTGATATCCCTGTCCCAAAATACAAAGTGTAATTTGAAATACAATTCAAAGATGAAAGTGTAATAGGCGAACACGTTTCTTCATGCCGGTTTTGTCATGAACAGCAAATGTCTAAGTAGCACTGATGAAATGAGTGTAACGGTTGTGCTTAATGGCTGTATTTCGAGACATGATAAATGCACTGGAAATATTTAGCTAAATAAATAAATATATTCCATGCAGTCGCACCGTCCTCTCCCCCTCCTGCGCTCACAGAGTGGACAATGAGACGTTAGAGGCAGTGCGGATTAAATACGTATTTAGAAAGAATTTCAATTCAGGATTTGAGTTGGATTTTACAACGTTTTTATGAAACAATTATCACTCACTCCAAGCGCAAAATAAGGCTGCTGGATTTAATTTCAATGATAACGTGGATCTAAGGTGGATATAGCGTGACATTTGTGTGAGACATCAATAAAAATCTGACTCCACTTCTCCACCTCGCCGTCTGCGTCGCCACTTCCCAGTGTCTTCCAAAATGTGTGCACGCATGACTCAGAGTTTGCTTACAGGTGCGCACATTCTCCCGCCAAGTTTATTTTTATAAATTACAACCTTTGCGTGGTAAGTGGCGTACGCCACTTTCAAGCCCCGTTTTGTGCGTAAGCAAGCTTTATAAATGAGGCCCCTGATCATTAAATCACCACTGATGAACCCCACAAAGAAGATTTTTACAGTTTTTTACACAGTATTTTGCAACAGTAATCATTACAATGTCTTGTAGTTTTTGCTTTACACTGTTAGCACTCAGGCGGCATGGTGGTGTGGTGGTTAGCACTCTCGCCTCACAGCAAGAGGGTTGCTGGTTCAATCCCGGGCGTGGGAGCCCTTCTGTGCGGAGTTTGCATGTTCTCCCCGTGTCAGCGTGGGTTCTCTCCGGGCAGCTGGGCAAGGAATCACAATAATCTAAACGACTGGTTATGAATGCATGATTAAAAGTTTCTGATGTTTGTTGGAAAGGATGATCAGAGTAGGACACGCTTTCATTGTAGGAACGTCTGATGGCTCATCAGCCACAAGCTTCGGTTAAGAGAGTGTGTAGCATATATTCAGAGAAACGGCCCTTTGGAGCAATGCGTGTATTTGTTCAGGATGACGGGATGTCAAACAAACAGGCTTTCAGTCCAATAGGACATTTTCCATCTAAAAGAGCTTTGGAATTATGAGCCATCTGAACAATGGCATGGCTGCGCTTTGCTGCAGTTAAGACAGCTCTTGTGAAAATTATTATAGATATTTACATATTTACGTGTGTATCGTAGCCATATTAAAAGATCTACTGTTGTAAGAAGGAATAGTTAGACCCGATGGCTACTGGTTATATATTAGGTACAGGTGAAGAGTCACTTTGTTCTTAATCAAAGGGTTTCTCCTCTGGTTCAGAGTTCAGTAAGGAAACAGATGCAGGTGCTATGAGTTTCTCTTACATTAAGATACAGTGGGCTGCTGTGAGGACCCACTGGTCACTGATGAGGGTCCCTCCACAGATGTGAAATGCTGCAAAACTGATGTGCAGGCTGACCATCCAGGGCCATGATCCAGCTGTGGCGTTCTCACCACCCACTATTCTTGTGTTGAGAGGTGCCATCCCACAATCTGACACAGCAAAATCAACAGTGAGTCAGTACATTCACAGTAAAGTGAGGCTGAATCATGTGTGAGGCTAAACATGTTTCAGCTGTGTACATTGCATTTCTGGAATGTGACTGTGCTTACCCTGAGCCATTGACCCTGTGGGAAAGAGAGAATAAAAATGTTGGTTATACCTGTTTGCCTTAGCGAGTTTGTTTACACCCAACAAATATAAGCTAGAAGGCCAGACTTTTTTTTGTGCTGGAACACGTGTGTTGGTAGGTGACACTGTGGACACTTCCTCAATATTGTGCTGAACAATACAAAAGAGGCAACAGCTGAAGCACTTGAAACCACTTGGCAGATCACCTCTCAATAGTTTACAAGCATTTCATTATTGATTAACAACACTTAAGCTTTCATTATACTTGATAGCTCTCTACAATACAACAGCCATGCAATGATTGCTGACTTATAAAGCTTATACTTGCATCATATTTAGATTTGTTATTAACTGTTTGAAAAATGACTATAAAGTTGGATCAAAATCTCTCTACAATGTTAATAAAAACTAAGCATAAGCTTAAGAAGAGATAATTTATTGGTTGAAGTAGAGAATAAACTGGTAAGTCAGTGTCAAACCTCACCTTGCCCAGTGAGGACAGCACACATCAGGAGTATCCACACAGTCCAGTCTGCCATCATGTGCTGTCACTGACGTTTTGCCTCCAGTAAGCACAGAGAGTCCTTCTGATAAACTCCTCAGGCACTCAAGTCTTTTTAAACACAGCAGCCTCTCCCTTCTCAAACTCGTTTTTCTAGATAAATCATAAGTTGATTCCATCAAGGTGAAGCTAGAATGTTATCTCTCCATACATCAATTACTTTGTCCTTTTTATGTGGACACTAGTGTAAAGTCTGACTTCATGACTTTGAAGAATACAATTGTGGAATGAATAGAGTTTATATGTGGGTTATTTTCTGTCTTATATAACTAATAACCAGCTAGCAGTTAAAGTATCCAGACTCCTTGATTAAGTATGAAACATGCACATTTATTTAGACTTCTGCTCTCCACAACTCCTCAAATAGCAAATAGCTAATCAGCCAATCACGTGGCAGCAACTCAATGCATTTAGGCATGTAGACATGGTCAAGACAACCTGCTGAAGTTCAAACTGAGCATCAGAATGGGGAAGAATGGTGATTTAAGTGACTTTGAACGTGGCATGGTTGTTGGTATCAGACAGGCTGGTCTGAGTGTTTCAGATTTTCACACACAACCATCTCTAGGGTTTACAGAGGATGGTCCAAAAAAGAGAAGATATCCAGTGAGCAGCAGTTCTCTGGGTGAAAATGCCTTGTTGATGCCAGAGGTCAGAGGAGAATGGCCAGACTAGTTCAAGCTAATAGAAAGGCAACTCAAATAACCATTCATTACAACCAAGGTCTGCAGAAGACCATCTCTGAACCAACAGCACGTCCAACCTTGAAGCAGATGGGCTACAGCAGCAGAAGACCACACCAGGTGCCACTCCTGTCAGCTAACAACAGGAAACTGAGGCTACAGTTCACACAGGCTCACCAAAACTGGACAATAGAAGATTGGAAAAATGTTGCCTGCTCTGATGAGTCTGGATTTCTGCTGCAACATGTATCAACGGTTCAGGCTGGTGGTGGTGTAATGGTGTGGGGGATATTTTCTTGGCACACTTTGGGCCCCTTAGTACCAACTGAGCATGGTTTAAACACCACAGCCTACCTGAGTATTGTTGCTGACTGCGTCCATCCCTTTATGACCACAGTGTACCCATCTTCTGATGGCTACTTCCAGCAGGATAACGCACCATGTCACAAAGCTCAAATCATCTCAAACTGGTTTCTTGAACATGACAATGAGTCCACTGTACTCCAATGGCCTCCACAGTCACCAGATCTCAATCCAATAGAGCACCTTTGGGATGTGGTGGAACGGGAGATTCACATCATGGATGTGCCACAGACAAATCTGCAGCAACTGTGTGATGCTATCATGTCAATATGGACCAAAATCTCTGAGGAATGTTTCCAGCACCTTGTTGAATCTATGACACCAAGAATTAAGGTAGCTCTGAAGGCAAAAGGGGTCCAACCTGGTACTAGCAAGGTGTATCTAATGAAGTGGCCTGTAAGTGTATGTTAAGTAAATATAAAGCAACAGCCAGCAGCTTGTTACCTAAAATCAGCCTATCAGCACATCTAAATTTAACTTAGTAACACTTGTTATCTTGTTTAATATGTACAAAAACCAAGGTGTAAAAATGACACGCTGTGGTCTTATCATCCCATTTTCTTGATGAGCCCTGCAGATACCCAACCTTTCTCACCATGCATCTCGTCCCCTGATCAGCATTTCAGCACATGTACTGGCCAGGTTTCATTTAGTCCCCGCCAGACCATCATAGTTGCTGAATTCTAGCTGTGTTCTTGCTTTGGAGCTGTTACTGTGACCCTTTTACCTGGCTCTGTACCTGCCAGTAAGTGTTTATTCCTTTAATTAAACACTGAATTCATTCTGTCGGCCTGCCTTCGTCTGCATTTGGATCCTATCCCAACTGACAGTCACTGCTTAAGTGCAACACGTTGCACGGTTTGCCACACCTTCATTTAGATGTTTGGATATTTATAGCTCAGACTTTGACAATAGCAGGAAATTCCTGCGGTCTGACTCATCAGTTAGATGAGTTTGCATTTTGTATTGAATATCAGATCACTTGGGCTGCTGCTGTTTTATGGTGGCACACTATGGACTCTGCATTTTATGCACATGTTCAGTCTGTCTTAAAAATTTGAATTAATAAGCTGCTGATTTCTCAGTCCTGTAGAACTACTGTTGAGATCATGGGCATGCCAAGAAACAGTACTTTATGTGCCATGCAAGCCGTGAGTGTTTCAAGAGAGCTCAGTGCCCTGTGCTGTATTAAGTAATAAGTAATTAAGTAAGTGCCCTCTTAATCTGTCCGCATTTGGCCTGTATTTTTAAACCTAGAATCATAAGTCAATATAAGATGTGCCTTTATTACTTCTCTTAACACGCTACAGCCACAGCAGTCTGGCTTTCAGTTATGATATTGTGTCCTCTCTGGGTAAAAAAACTATTTTGTGCGGCCCTCTGAACATGTCTCTTCTAAATTTAAATTTAGTTTCACATGAGAAATGTTTTGCTTCACATGTGCAACCCTCTCTCCAAGAATTTTTTATTAAATGCAACTAATGTGAAACAAATATGTTTTGAGGGAGACATAATGCCAAGTGAATTATGTTTTCTTTTAACATAATGAGGAAATGTTGCCAATAAATGTACATGTCAAGGCACAAAAAATTCTTCTGAACGTATCAGCAAAATGTCCACTGACAACAGTTTAATCATGACAAATCAGAGATTCTGTTAGCCGGACCAAAGGCTTTGAGAAATGGAATTCAATCTTTGTTAAGTCCCCTGTCTGTACTACCATGTGAACTTGGGTGTGATTTCAGACGCTGATCTTAACTTCCAGAAGCATGTTTCTAATATTTTTAAGACTGCCTTTCATCACCTCAGAAATACATCAAAAGTTAAATGCTTCTTGTCTCAGTCAGACTCTGAAAAGCTGGTTCAGCAGGCTGGATTGTAACACTGAGTACACACCAGAGAGATCCCTCAGATCATCAAATAAAGGTCAGTATGGTCCCACTCTCTGGAAATCTCTTCCACATGAACTACGGTCGGCTACAACAGTGTTCTCTTTTAAAAGCAACCTAAAAACTTTTTTTTTTTTTTCCCGCAAGCTTTAAGTTAGGTTTTTAAGTGTATTTTTATTTGTTGTAGGAATTAATATTATCTCCCCTTTTTAAAGAATAATGATAATAGTAATACCTTCTTATTTTGTTTTGTTTGTTTTTATCATGTCCTGCTTGTTTTTATGTATGAAACACTTTATTATCTTAAATGATGTTTTATGTTTGTCATGTATGATGTATGTTAAGCACAATGAGTTTACACTTGTCATATGAAATGCGCTATAGGAATAAAATTGACTTGACTTGACAACGTATTTCAGTTGTTTTCTGCCAACAGATATTCACTGATAGTGGCTACAGCAGTATGTTTTTTGTGTGTGTGTGTGTGTGTGTGTGTGTGTGTGTGTGTGTGTGTGTGTGTTCTTTCTGAAGATTTAACTGACAATGACTGACTCACGGTCTTTACCAAATGTTAACCACAGCGCTTTTGTTGCCTCAACCTGAGACAAGAGTCTGGACACAAACCTGAAGTTCTGTCAAGGTGTCAAGGTTTTGCACTTTGTATGCCCACCATATATCGATGCCACAAAAACTTTGTTAAAAAAGGCGGTTTAGTTTCATACAAATGTAACAAATATAGATGGGGCTTCACATGACGTGAAAGATTGCGCTTACTACACTGCTACTATAAATCCCCCTAAATCCTTCTCACTTGTCATCATTTGCATCTAAACCAGCTGCTAAATGGAATTTAAAATTAAATGAAATTAACAGTGCGATGAAATGCAGATGAAAAGGCAGAAGCTGGCATGTCTGTAAGAGCTGCAACTCTTCATGTATTATCTCAGCACTAGAGAATTTGAATACAAGAGGTGAGATATTTTTAAGTGAGATCTCATTGCACACATTTCACATCAACTGTCTAACAAGAGTGTTAATTTTATCCCACAAGAGTAAGTGTTAATTTTGATTAATTGCAGATGTCTCACTTTGGAATGAAGCTCTCCAAATATGAAACTGACACATGTGCATGTTTACGCTGTGATCCAATTATCCAGGATTTACTTCAGCAGTTATTACTTTTGTAACATCTTAAATGTTAGGGTTTTTATTCCCCAGCGTCAAAGGTTTTTTGGGGGGGAGTTTATCCTTATATGCTGAGGGAGTCCAAGGACAGAGGGATGTCATATGCTGTTAAGATGACTTGTGATATTGGGTTTTATAAATGAAATTGAATTGAATTGAAAGGCCCTATAACACAGTTTTCTACCATCAGTTTTGCTTTTCATGAGAGATTTGTTTATATGCGTTTTTCTCTTTGCTCTTTTCCCTGGTTTGAAGGAGGCGGGACTCAGTTGTGGGGTTGTTTGCTGATGTTTCCGGGCTGCTGTCAGTCAAATCTGAATAAATCACACCCTCACAGTGCTGATGAAGCAGGTAAGTTGAGTTTTTTTATCCATTAACGCTTTAAAAAATACCATCTAAGGATATTTTCGCTCTGTTATTGTAGCTTTAATCATGAATATTCAATGTCATAGAGGAATCTTGAGTTATCACTGGATCTAATCATAAAGCACATTTGTGTAGATTTTGGGTGGGACAGGGGACATTTCTCTTTAATATTTAGAATATGTGCATTTGTAACCCCCAGTAAAATACATTTAATAAAATATAAAGACATAAAAGTACCATAGGACTTATATTCTGACAAAATTAATGACATGTACACCATCAGTTGTTGCAGAAAAGAGAAAAGGCACACAGTGGTCCACAAAACTTTACCAGAATGCATTATGTTATTTTTTGATGCTCAATATTTTCTGGTGAAGGACCCTCAAACTCGTGTTTCATGTGTGTGTCCCCATATGTTCAAACAAAACCTGTGTCTTGTAACAGGACCGTCTCATCTAATTTGGCTGCTCTATTTCAGCTCAGCCTGCATTTTGCTATCTGACCACAGGATGGCAGTATCATATTGTCCTGGATGAGTTTGCCCTCCTTAACACCATGAATCAAAAATAAATTCTCATTTTAAAAAGTGTCAATTGAATTATTTCATCACCTAGAACATAATGCAAGATGTTTCTCAGTGACAGAGAGAAGGGGGGGTTTACAGGAAGGAGACACAGTATGATATTGTTAAAACTGCATATCCCTCAAGAACAGATTAAATGTGTGTGTGGTTGGGTTGGTGGGTGGGTGAGAGAGAGAGAGGGCAGACACTGCAAAACTGAGTGTTAAAAACCTCGAGATCTGACAAAGCCTCCCAGTGTGTGTGCTGTGAGTGGAAGCTGCAGCACACAGAGAGTTTCCTGCTGGTACGACCAAGTGTCTCTCCCAGCGTTTGTGTGGCTGTTCAACATGGACTTTAAAAACTTAACTGGGCCTGAATGAAGTTCAGGTGAGAGTGGATGGATCTTCAGACAGGAATTCATGCATCATGGAGACGTTCACCAGGTGGTGCTTTGTTTGGATACTTATGGAAGGAACCTTGTGTTTGGTAAGTGAAAACTAGACAGAGTGACCATGAATTAGATCCATGGTAAATTAGGGAAAAAATGAGTAAGCAGGTGGAAAATAGCAAGGTGTATTAACTCTGTAACACTTGAGTCTTTGCATTTTAAGTCTCTTTTGTAATTATTATATATAATTACTATATTTTACAAATAATAATAATAACTTTTATACCTCTTTAAGATGATTTTTGCAGTTTTACATGCTAAAATACACCCTAAACAACCCAAAATATGATGCATTTTTGGTGTTTAATCTGAAAACACTATTGATCACCTACAAGAAAAAAAAACATCTTAAAAGCTGTTGCACCGTAATTTAAAAAGTATAATTCTTCACAGTATGTTCTTTTCCCTTTGTTAGGTTTTTGTCAGTTCTTGTATATTTAACACATTTTGAATTAATCTATTTTAGTTTAGGTTTTTTTTTTTATCACTGTATATCTAATTTTGCCGCATTCTGTCTTAGTTACTGACTTTTGTTACTGGGTTTTCAGCAGTGGTTTAACATTAATGGTATACTATGCAGGATTGTAACTGTAAACACACTTACCATTCATTCACTCATTTTCTGTAACACCTTATTCTGTTGGGGGTTGCTGGTTCTTAGCGCGGCTGACATTGGGCAAGAGGCAGGGTACACCCTGGACAGGTCACCAGACTATCACAGGGCTGACACATAGACAGACAACCAGACAACACTCACATTCACACCTACGGAAAATTTAGAGTCACCAATTAACCTGCATGTGTTTGGACTGTGGGAGGAAGCCAGAGTGCCTGGAGAAAACCCACGCTGACACGGGGAGAACATGCAAACTCCACACTGAAGGGCTCACCCACCCTGGGGTTTGATCCTGCACCCTGGATTCGATCCGGGAACCCTCTTGCTGTGAGGTGACAATGCTAACCACTGATCCACCGTGCTGTCAACACACTTGCCAGCAAAAGTGAAAAGCCCAGATCCATTCTCATTTGGTGTTTTGCTTCACTATATTAGTGTTTCTTTTCACTGTCTCTTGGATGCCTGCTGCTTAGGGTTAGGGGGTTAGTGGGTTAGTTTGTGTCTGGCACCTGGTTGCTACTTATTTATAAAGCCACTGCATGACCTAGGTGCTGTGGGCTTCACGCCCATAAACTCAGAAAATAAGAAGAAAATATAAAAATACAGGCAGAGAGCAGTATCTCTGCTGAAAAAAATACACCCCCACACAATTCTAGTGGGTCACAGGTCATGATTTAGAGCGATTACGTCTGTATGAGTCTATACATTGTTTTTTGGGGAATATCCTGCACAGTATATCTTGAAATACATATTGTTCAAAGTATTAGAGTGAGTATTAATTTAATTCAAATTTATTTCCACTTGCACTTAATGTCCAAATATCTCTCTTGATTTTCTGTTTAGTTGGTTCTTGGGCAAAGTCACGCCAACTTCACCTTCAGCAAGAGAACATCACCTGAACTCAACAGAGACCAAGACCCTCCTTCACAGAAGAACTTGGCTCTCCAAACAGGGAGTTTGATTCAGAACACCAAACTACCCATCAGCCGCTTTATTCCTCTTTCAAAACAGGGACTCATGGAAGTACTAGGAAGAAACTCCCAGTCACACTCCAACCCATCCTTAAAGATAAAGCTCCGTCCCGTCATGAAAGTCCATGGAACATCCAAAGTCTCCAGGATGTTCAGCTGGGGGGACTTTTACTCAAACATCAAGACTGTCAAACTCAATTTGCTGATAATGGGCAAGATTGTGGATCATGGGAACGGCTCTCTTGGAGTGTACTTCCGCCACAACTCCACAGGTGTGGGCAACGTCTCCGTCAGCCTTGTTCCGCCGATGAAAGAGGTGGAGTTTGATCTGGAGCGCCAAAGCGTGGTTAACCCCAAAGACTCAAAGACATTCAACTGCAGGGTGGACTATGAGAAGACGGAGCGCAACAAAAAGGTGATGCTGTGTAACTATGACCCATCCAAGACGTGCGCTCAGGAGCAGATCCAGAGCCACGTCACCTGGATGTGCTCCAAACCTTTCCAGGTCATCTGCATCTATGTGTCGTTCTACAGCACAGACTACAGACTGGTTCAAAAAGTATGTCCAGACTACAACTACCAGAGTCCAGGAGCCTACCCGCCCACAGGGTGACCAGAGGTCAAGGACACTAGTGGAGAATAATATCTCAATAAAGAGAAATCCAGTGTGAGCAGCTATGAGCAGTTTTTAAAAGGCTTGCAAAGCTTAGCATTTCTCTAGAGAATATCTTTGTCTTACAGTTTACCCAATACTGTGAAGTATGTTTCTAGTCTAATATCCTGCTTGTTGTAGACTACAAGAATTATATTACACTGTTTTAATGAAATGCATATAATCGGGGCTGCAACTATTATTTCATGATCAATTATTGTGATTACTTTTTACATTATGTATTAATCAGTTGTTTAGTTTTGTGGACAGAAAGTTGTGAAAAACGTTACTTTCACATAAGACAAATAAAAGCAGAGAATCCTTACAAACGAAAGGAACCAGGTAATATTCAGCATTTTCTTCTTTTTTTAAGACTGATGTGAATGTTTAAGTGATTCTCGAAATAGTTAAATGCCAATACATTTACTCTCAAGTCATCAAGAAATCCTTATTGCCCTACATGATTTCTCCCATAATACTTTGCTAAAACTAGACAATAGAGAGTTTTTTATTTTGTAAGGTCCAATATAGTTTTAGCTGGCAATAAGTAAAGGGGCTGTATGCAACATTCAGAGCTGTAGAATAGCAGCAAACCACTATTTGCTATGTTAAGATAAAGTGGAGTAATGGCATCCTGAGCAGAGAATGAAGTCCTGTTTCATCTGTGTGTGATGTAATCCAAGCTGCTATGTTCTTTGTTTTGGTAGACGATCCATTTGTGCATGCGTTTGAGTCATGTGTGTATTGTAATAGCTAGCTGATTGCCGCAGCCCGGCACTGCGCTCATACAGCGGTTACCAATGATAATCACAGAAGTGTGACGCTCACCTTCCGGTCCCCCTCCATGATTAAACCATTAGCTCTGTCAGCACTGTTAGTGTTGCTAGAATTGTTCATTATCAGCTGCGAGCTGCCGGCTCAGCCACGTTAATGTTGGGAGCCATGTGCAGACAATCCCAGACTCTAAATCACAAGCTACTTCAGTCAGGACCATTTTGGTCAACGAAAACTTTATTTCCATTTGCATTATTATATTTGGTGGTATGGCTCTGTTCTGGGGTCTCTCTGCCTTTCCTAGGACTACGCAGAAAGCCTAAGGCAGAGAGAGCAAACCTCCCTGCCCTTCCATGCCCCGACATGGAAAGCCTAAGGCAGGCAGAGCAGCAGCAAAGACCCCCGGGAACAGAACAGAGCAGTATTAATGACAAACAGAAATGACGTTCATTAGTTGGACATAACTTAAAAAGGAGGAGCTGGGGTGGAGGCAGCTTGCAAAGCAGCTTGCAGAGGAAGCAGGAACAGTAGACAGACCAGAGCAGTTTAAATAGGGTCTCTGAATGAGATTTGCTAATTGGTTGCATAGAAAGGAATCATGTGATCTATCAGCTGACTCCCTTCCATCAAGCAGCCGCTCCATCAGTTGATGGTTTCCAGCAGCCTTCAGTCCGTGCAGGAAGTCACAGACACACTAACATCCTGTCTGGAATGATGTCAATTCATTAAAAAAGTGATCAGACCCATATATCAGTTTGTTTTCACCATCAGTCACACAACATGTTTTCTGTTCACAGAATAAACCTTCAGGTCAGACAAATACAATCTTAATCTCTAAAATTCAACACAAATGAGTAGTTTATCTAAAACGTCATATTGTTGAGTCGGCATCTTAACCAATCAGCTGTTAGATCAGGTGAGAGCCAGGCAGTGCAGTCGGTGGAGAGCAACTGCGGCGCCTGGCTCTAAAAACTGCGGCCGCCTCGCTCTCGCGGCTTTATCGCCGTCCACTTTTGTAATACGTCAGAGCAAGTCGGGATGAAGTCGGACACAAAACTAACCGGCATGCATTGTGCGCCAATCACCAGTGATCGAATCTGCGCAGGACTGGCTCATCTTGAACGAACCTAACGTGTCCTGCCTGAACTAACGCTATGCGCAATTTCTACACTGCCTCTTCAACGCGGGAATTTCACGCTGGTTTGCTGTCTCGCCATTCTTTGTAAAAGGTACAGTCATGGAATGGGGGCCAGAGGTGTCTCACCTTTAAGCCAGCAGCAGAGGTGATAACAGTGCCAAAACAATGTCTGTGTAAAAGGGACAGCCAGCAGGATGCGTGGGACAAGTGTGATGGTTTGATGACGTTTTATGGGTGCAACCAACCACCAGATGATTTAAAAAGCAGCTGATTGCAGTTAGCAGCTAACTTAAAGAAGAGGAACAGTGGCCCAATATGTCCAGGAATTGGCAAAACAAAGAGGTCCAGGAGCTCCTTACCCCCAGAGCTGAGGGTGAGACCAACCACAATATAACAGGGGTGGTAAACTATTGTTTTTGCCATATCATGCCATTGTTATTGTTTATAAAGCGCTGCCGACACTTATGTTATATGTCACACTAACACTGTGTCACACATGTCACGCCTGTCACACTTCTTTTGCCTCCGCCATGCCGGCATGCTTACTAATATCACACTGTAGCAGCATGATGCTGTCGTTTTTTTTGGTTCTGTGTCCAAATGCTAAAGCAGCCCTATAGCACAATCTCTGTGTAAGAAGGGCCACAATTATGCTCTGTTTCCCAATAAAAAACAGATGCATAAAAACTAAAACCAAAACAGATAAGACTACATCACCAACAAGGTTAAAAATCATATTTAGACAACGAAATGTAATGGTGTATGTCTAAACCCCATTAAAAGCCTATTATTTCAGCTTGTTGGGAAAGTAAAATGGTCTTCTTAAAATGTTCTTCTCATTTGAAACCAAATATAGTAACACATGTAGTTAATCTGTGACAGCCATTTGAACTTCTTAAATGTGGTTTCCCACTGACAAGAGTAAAGAGCCATGATTTGTCCTGCAGAATAGCAATGTGGATGTTAATGTCTCATCCAGGCTGCTGTTGAAAGCCATGTATGGGCTCAGGTTGTTGAATGGTTCATGAGGTCCTGAGGTCCTGAGTTTGGCGGGGGACCTACACCGTGCTGGGGATTAAATGTTTTTTTGTCTCTGAGCTGTGAACCACACATGCTGCTAACTAGATTATATGTACATATATATATATATATATATATATATATTTAGTTTCAAGCAGTGGTGTAGGAAGTATTCAGATCCTTTAGTTAACTGCGGGTAGCAATAGTGTAATATAAAGAAAGAGAAAAATGAGTCATTTAAAAAGTCTTAACATAGTATAACAAAAAATCATAAAATAGTTAATAATACAGTATGCTATAAAAAACTGATGAAGTCATAGCACAGACTATGTCATGAAAAGACATGAAAAACTCATAACATAAAAATTGTCATACAAAGGTCATGGTATTCCGTAAAAAATGTAATTGAAACGTCTTTATTCATTAAAAACTCAGTATTGTATGTTATAAAAAAAAGGCACTTAATACTCAATCAATAATAAAATATCATACAAACGTCACGGTATAGTATGTTGTCAAAAATGTCATAGTATTGTATGTCGTCAAAAATATCATAAAAACATCATAGAATAGTATGTCATCAAAAATATAAAAAGGTCTTAGTATAGTAAGTTGTCAAAAAATGGCATAGTAAAGTATGTCGTCAAAAATATCATAAAAAAGTCATAATATAGTATGTCGTCAAAAATATAAAAAAAAGTCATTGTATAGTATGTTGTCAGAAATATGAAAAAGTCATAGTATAGTATGTCGTCAAAATTATTATAAAAACATAATCGTATAGTATGTCATCAAAATGTCATACAAAAGTCATAGTATAGTATGTCGTCAAAATATCATAAAAAAAGTCATAGTATACTATGTCGTCACAAATATCATAGAAAAACCATAGTATATTATGTCATCAGAAATATCATGAAAAAGTCATAGTATAGTATGTCGTCAAAAATACCATAAAAAAGTCATAGTATAGTACGTCGTCAAAAATATCATTAAAAAGTCATAGTATTGCATGTTGTCAAAAATACCATAAAAAAGTCATAGTATAGTATGTCGTCAAAAATACCAGAAAAAAGTCATAGTATAGTATGTCGTCAAAATATCATTAAAAAGTCATAGTATAGTATGTCGTCAAAAATACCATAAAAAAGTCATAGTACAGTATGTCGTCAAAAATATCATTAAAAAGTCATAGTATGGTATGTCGTCAAAAATACCATAAAAAGTCATAGTATAGTATGTCGTCAAAAATACCATAAAAAAGTCATAGTACAGTATGTCGTCAAAAATATCATTAAAAAGTCATAGTATAGCATGTCGTCAAAAATACCATAAAAAAGTCATAGTATAGTACGTCATCACAAATATCATGAAAAAGTCATTGTATAGTATGTCGTCAGAAATATCATCGTGAAAAAGTCATAGTATAGTACGTCGTCAGAAATACCATAAAAAAGTCATAGTATAGTACGTCGTCACAAATATCATAGAAAAACCATAGTATATTATGCCATCACAAATATCATGAAAAAGTCATTGTATAGTATGTCGTCAGAAATATCATCATGAAAAAGTCATAGTACAGTATGTCGTCAAAAATATCATTAAAAAGTCATAGTATAGCATGTCGTCAAAAATACCATAAAAAAGTCATAGTATAGTACGTCATCACAAATATCATGAAAAAGTCATTGTATAGTATGTCGTCAGAAATATCATCGTGAAAAAGTCATAGTATAGTACGTCGTCAGAAATACCATAAAAAAGTCATAGTATAGTACGTCGTCACAAATATCATAGAAAAACCATAGTATATTATGCCATCACAAATATCATGAAAAAGTCATTGTATAGTATGTCGTCAGAAATATCATCATGAAAAAGTCATAGTACAGTATGTCGTCAAAAATATCATTAAAAAGTCATAGTATAGCATGTCGTCAAAAATACCATAAAAAAGTCATAGTATAGTACGTCATCACAAATATCATGAAAAAGTCATTGTATAGTATGTCGTCAGAAATATCATCGTGAAAAAGTCATAGTATAGTACGTCGTCAGAAATACCATAAAAAAGTCATAGTATAGTACGTCGTCACAAATATCATAGAAAAACCATAGTATATTATGCCATCACAAATATCATGAAAAAGTCATTGTATAGTATGTCGTCAGAAATATCATCATGAAAAAGTCATAGTACAGTATGTCGTCAAAAGTATCATTAAAAAGTCATAGTATAGCATGCTGTCAAAAATACCATAAAAAATTCATAGTATAATATGTCGTCAAAAATACTATAAAAAAGTCATAGTATAGTATGTCGTCAAAAATACCATTAAAAAGTCATAGTATAGTTTGTCGTCAAAAATAC